TGGGGGGGGGGGGGTGAGTGAGACAGAGGCAGGAAGGTAGCTAGATAGGCCGACAGAGAGATGTGGGGGGGAGAGAGCCAGAGAGAGAGGAAGAGAGAGAGCATAGAGGAAATGTGTTGGTGCGGCCGTTAAGCCCGTAAAATTTACTTGGGTATGCATGTTTTGAGCAGTCTCACGGGTATGGGGCGGCCAGGCAACGGGGGGGTAAAACGTACCTTGTCAGGAAGGCCAACGTCTTCAAAGTCGAAGCCCATATCTCGCATGCCGGTGTTGGCCAGCATCCACTTGAGGCTCTCAAAACTTTGAGAGTCGAAGTCCTGTGCAGGATTATAACCCCGCGTACACGGAGGAGGGGGAAGGTAAGGTAAAAAAAAATGTTTACAGGAGGAAACATGGAGGAACGTGTTCACACCAAAGACAACTCATAAGGTGATTCATGCTATCTACAAGGACGACAAGCAGGGGGTGGGGATCGTCAGGCTACCAGGCAGTGAGCGATACCCTAGTCTAGACGCCCTAGCTAGCGGCAGCAGCAGTCAAAATACGCGGCACAAGACGACTACGTGGGAAACCCGGGGAAACATCCAGAACGTCCCCCCTCCTCACTAACCTGGAGGTCCCGCAGCGTCGTGTCCGTCCCAGTGATGAACTTGAACACGCTCGGCGCCAGGCGGCTGCCGATCCTTCTGCCCTCGAGCAAGCACTTGACCATCAGTCTACCGATGGCCCGGTACCTGGTGCCCGCCACCCACACGCACGAAACAACATTGTCCGCAACGACAAGACAAGCACGCTCGCGTGAGCGTAAGGTGGCCAGGTGTCATTGGATTTGTCGATGCTTGAACACGAAGAGTGAAAAAAGAAAAAGTACATGCCGAAGAAGCCGGCCTACGCCTGACCTCCCCTGTACCCCTCGCCCGCCCCCCATCCCCTCCTGCAGAACCCGATACAAACCCCTGCCAATGCGTTCCCACAAAACAAAAACGCCCGAACACATCAGCCACGACGCTTTCGACGAACGGGTCACCAACCACAGGTTGATGCTCGATTCTAGCCAACGGACCGACATCCATCGACCCCCTCTCTCTCACCTCCCGAGCTGGGCGTCCGAGTAGCCGCCCGGCCTCGCGGTCGGCAACATCTTCGACACCGACACCGCTCTCCCTTCCCCGCTCCCCGCGCCGGAGGCGGCGGCCCCCTCCACCACCGACCGCTCCGCCTCTCGCCGAGCCTCAAAGCTATCGCCGTCATCATCATCCTCCTCCTCCTCCTCCTCCACATGCTCCTCGACGCTCCCGGATATCGGCTCCAAGTAGGCGCCGAATCTGCTAACGTCATCGGGGTCGTCAACAACGCTTGCCGCTCCGTTAGCCGCGGCGCCGGCGACAGCGCCGCTGAACCGCGGGGCGAAGGACTTCTCGGTAGGGTCCTTGGCAGGCCGCCGGCCGAGGGGCTCCGCGGTTGGCGGGGGGGGGGAGTCGCAGTTCTCGAACAGCCCGAACCTCGGCAGCATCATGGCCTCGAACAGAAGGGTGTACATCTGTGGGCGGAACGGGGAGGGAGGGTGTTGAAAAAAGAGAGGGACGACACTGGGCGCTGGCGGCTGCTTTGGTTGAGAGGATGGTTAGAAAAATGAGGGTTCCGGTTCGGTGTTGAAGGGTTTGAGAGAGGAAACCTGCAGCAACTTCAGTGGCGGCACGGATCGAGTGAAAAATACAAACATCTCCTTTCACAAATTAGTTTAAAGACAACGCCGCCACCACCACCACCACCACCACCACCACCACTGCCACTGACATCAACATCCAGCAGCAGAGGCAGCAGCAGCAGCAGCAGCAGCAGCAACAACAACAACAACAACAACAACATTAACACCACCACGACCACCACCAACCACAGCAGCACACCTCGCTGAGAATCCCTCCCTCGTCCACCCCGGCCTCCCCCTGGAAGGTGATCTTGAGCGCCCTCCGGAGAGCAGATCCCGCCGCATCCGTCCTCACCAGCCGAATCACCGACGGCACGAGGTACCGGCTGTCCCGCTTCACGGTCCACTTGAGAGGACCGCTCGGCTTGGCCTCGTCCCGCACGGTGCGGAACAGAACCCTGCGATGGATGTGTATCCATATTTTTGGGCAGAACACGGTGCGGAACAGAACCGTACCTTATAAATGCGTGTTGTTTCGTTCCGGCGGTGGGGTGGCGGTACAACAGTGAGAAGAGACAAAGCACGGTGCGGAACCCTGCAATACTGTTTTCATTTGTGTTTTTGGCTACGGTCCTCAAGTGTGGTGTTGAGAGATAGCAACCGAGGGAGGCTGAGGAGTAAAACAACAGGCCGAGCTCGGGGAGGAATCGCCAAATGGGGGCGGCCTCTGACCCCCGCAGCAAGCGGTCCATTGGGGAAGTTGCTGCTGCTACTGTCCGAGCGGGGGTAACAACGGACGGCAGCTAGGAGCAGCCGATCGTCAGGCTTTTCCATTGTTTCGCGGAGGCGACGGTGTTGGTACTCAATTTTAGCACTGAGACAAGTCCCAACAAAAACACGGGAATAGCCCGACGTTGTCGCTTCTATCTCGAGTGTCAAGTTGCTTGTTCTTCACCTAACGGCCTCGAGCTTGCGGGTCTGTTCCAGCAGAGCCCCGTCTTGTTGAAGCCTCGACACGTGGGAAACCCGGAAGTATTTTGCCTTTACGGTAGCGGTGGGAACACGCGTACGGGAACAGCGGGTGTAGTTCCGAGAGCGTCAGCGGTGGAAAGCAGCGTGTCATCACCATGGAGCCACCGCACTACCAGTGTCGACAGCATCGAATGCGACTTGGCAACGACGACGAGAACGATCACAAAACCTACAACCCGACAGCATCACCACCACCACCACCACCACCAGCAACAACAACATCAACACCACCCAGCAACAACAACAACAACAACAACAACAACAACAACAGCAACACCAACAACAACAACACCGCCACCACCGCCACGACCAACAACAACATCAACAACGACGACAACACCAGCAACAACAACAACAGCAACAGCAACAACAACAACAACAACTACCAACAACACACCGAAAGAACCTCCCCACCCCCCTCCAATCCCACCTGGAGGGCATCCGACGCCCTCGGCCTCCGGGCCGGGTCCGCCGCAAGCAGCGCCTTAAGCAAATCCGCCGTCGCCACGTCGGCACTCCGAGGGATAACGCCTGCACTACCACCACCGCCCGCCGCCGCCCCCCCCCCCCCCTCCGCTACGGGGAAGCGGGCCGGTGGGATGGTCGGGGAAAATGCATGTGGAAGAGCACGGCTCCCAGGCTGTACATGTCCGAGGCTAGCGAGGAGGGCCTTCCGGATTCCACCTGCGAGGGGAAAGGGGGGCGGGGGAGTGTTGCACGCACGTGAAACGAAACGAAAAATGAGCGTGCGTGTCGGAAAATTGCTGATGGACGCCAGTCTCTCCGTCTTTCGCAGTACTTTATGGTGGCTCAGCCCAGGTCACACGTGCAGGAGGAGTCCACAAAGGGAGGACTTTTTCGTCTCGTCTTTTGTGGAGCGGTTTGCCTAATGAATAGTTCTCGTGTTGTTCGTCCGCGAAATGTTTCTCCTCGACACGAGCCTCCCAACCACGATCCGCGGCCTGTCGAAGCCGAGACGTGAGGGGCCCCGTGTCTCACGCCGGTTACCAAGTAGGGGTCAGGCGAACGGGCACCTCTCCCCTCCCGGACAGCCTCACAAACACAAAAATAAACAGTTACAAACACGGAGAAAGACGCGCCCAGGGCCAAAGGGAATGGCGGAGGGACCCCCGTGCCCCCCTTCCACTCACGCCTCACTCCAAGCAGACACAATTCTCATCCAACAGCGGTGCATGTTCTCCTCGTCCAACACCAGTCCATGTACTCATCATCAAACAGCAGTACACGTACACCTCATCCAACAGCGGTACATGCACTCCTCATCCAACAGCAGCACATGTACGTAGATACCTCCGGGGCCATGAATCCGCTAGTCCCGGCAAAGCTCGTTCTGGTGGTCTCCGCCTCCATCGTGCCACCACGGAACCCCCCCTCCTCCCCGGCCTCGGGGGTGGAGCCACCACCGCCGTCTTCTCCCCTCCCGCCGCCTTCCGCTCCGCGCGCCCCCCCCGCGGGCGTCGCCGAGGCGTTCGATCCCAGAGTGTCTTTGCTGACATCGAAGTCCGCCAAGAGGAAGCGGCCATCCGCGTGGACTAGGATGTTCCCCGGCTGCCGGGGGGGGGGGGGGGGATGCGGGCTTTGTGACTGTCTTTATAGGATTGGTAGCCT